GATTATTAGAGCTGAAGCCTAATCAGTCTGCCCTAGTATAAATGGACTGACTGGGTATTGACTAGAGGTGGGTTGGGCATGGCTGGAGGAGGTGGGTCACTGGGAGTCTGCCCTGGAAAGATGCATTTTGCCTGTGGTCCCTTTCCCTTTCTGCTTCCTGACCCCACCATGAACTGAATGACTTTCTTCTGCTGGGCCCTTTCCCCATAATGTGCTGCCTTACATTGGCCCTAGAGCAATGGAATCAGGCTGACACCTCTGAAATCAGGATCCCCAAGTAGACTTTTCCTCCTGTAAGTTGTTCTTGTTGGGTATTTTGGTCACAGTGATGCAAAAGCTGACAAAACACTTTGTAATTTTTTAAATTCTCAATTTCATTAATTTCAGCTTTAATCTTAATTATTTCCTGTTTTCCACTGGTTTGGAAATTAATTTGTTCTTGCTTTTCTAGGACCTTTAGATGTAACCTTAGATAGTAGGGAACTCTCTGTTTTTTTTTTTTTTTTTTTATAAATGTAGGCATTTAGTGCTATAAGCTTTCTGCTTGGAACTGCCTTCAGAGCTTTTGATATATTGAATCTATTCTTGTTTGTTTCTAAAAATTTTAAAACTTCTATCCTGATTTCTTCTCTGAACCATTTCTCATTCCAAAGTATATTATTCAATCTCCATGTATAAACAAGGTTTCTATTTTTTTATTTCATTATTTATTTCTAATTTTACTTCATTAACTTCTGATAAGATGCAAGGAATTCTCTCTCTCTCTCTCTCTCTCTCTCTCTCCTTTTTGTTAAGACTTGCTTGGTGTCCAAAACATGGTCTATTTTGGAGAAGTTTCCATGTGCAATTGAGAAGAAAGTAACTTCAGTTGTTGATGGTTGAAATTGTCTGATAGGTACGTTTGATTGATAGTATTTTTTTTTTTAAGGTCTAAAGATCCTTTACTAAGTTTCGTTCTGGATGACTTATGTATTGGTGAGACAGGTGTGTTGAAATCACCCAGTTATTGTATTGGAGTCTATCTAGGACTTTATGGTGTGTAGTGTTTGTTTTATGTATGTAACTGTGCCAACATTAGGGGCATAAATATTTATAATCATTGTATCTTTTTGTGGGATAGACTCTTTTACCAGTATAAAGTAATCTTCTTTGGCTCTTCTGATTACTTTTGGCTTGAAGTTTGCTTTTCAAATATGAGAGTGGCTACCCCTGCTTGCATTTGGTCTCCTTTTGCATGGTATATCAACTTTTCATCTTCAGATTATGTATGTATTTGCTTAGAAACTGTGTTTCTTGTAAACAACATATCATTGATTCCTGTTTTCTAATCCACTCTGCCTTTTAATTGGAAAGTCAGGGCCATTTACACTTCATGTTACTATAGAGAGGATTATTTCCTGTCATTTTGATCTTTTTTTGGGGGGTGGGGTACTAGGGATTGAACACAGGGGCACTCAACCATGGAACCACATCCCCAGCCCTTTTATTTTATTTTATTAGAGATAGGGTCTCACTGAGTTGCTTAGTGCCTTGTTAAATTGCTGAGGCTGGCTTTGAACTTGCAATACTCTTATCTCATCTTCCTGAGCCACTGGGATTACAGGTGTACACCAATGCGCCTGGCCCCATTTTGATTTTTTCTAATGTTTTATTTTTTCTTGACTCTCCTTTTTAAAATTATTCTTCTAGTGGGATTTATTTTCTCTCTTTTAAGTTTGTTTTGCCTTTCTTCTGCATGAAGTATTTTTCTAAGAATTTCCTATAATGCCGGTTTAGTCATCATGGAATCTTAGTTTATGCTTATCTTGGAAGTTTTTATTTGGTCTTCAGTTCTCAAGCATAGCTTTGTTGGATAAACTAATCTTGGTTGACAATTATTATCTTTCAGAACTTGATATACATTATTTCAAGGCCTTCTGGATTTTATCTGGGCTAAGAGATCAATGGTGATTTGCTTAATTTACCTCTAAATGTGACCTGCCATTTTTTTTCTTGCAGCTTTTAAAATTCTATCCTTGTTCTGTATGTTAGACATTTTAATTATAATATGTCTCAGAAAGGATCTTTTTGATCTAGTCTGTTTAGGGTTCTGAATGTATCCTGTATTTGAATCTCACTCTCATTCCCAAGGTTTTGAAAATTTTCTGATATTATATCACTGAACAGGTTATGCATGCCATTAGTTTATATCTCATTTCTTTTCTTTATATAAATAATATGTAGATTTGGTCTCTTCATGTTGTCTCATATTTCCTGAACATTCTGATCATGGTTTCTTTCTTTTTTTTTTTTAAAGAGAGAGAGAGAGAGAGAGAGAATTTTAATATTTATTTTTTAGTTTTCGGTGGACACAACATCTTTGTTTGTATGTGGTGCTGAGGATCGAACCCGAGCCGCACGCACGCCAGGCGAGCGCGCTACTGCTTGAGCCACATCCCCAGCCCTGATTATGGTTTCTTATTGTTGTTTTTGCTGACTAAATTTTCAAGATTATGTACCTTGTCTTCAAGGCCTGAAAAATCGGTCTTCTGCATAATCTCTCAATGATACTTTCCATTGAACTTCTAATTCAATTTATTAATTTTTTCCAGGTTATCTGTTTCATTCTTTTAAAAAATATTGATCTCTTTATTGAAATAATCTTTCACTTCCTGTATTTTCTCTTATTTCAGAAAATGTGCTTTTTTTTCTTTTTCTTTTCTTTCTTTCTTTTTTTTGGTACTAGGAATTGAACCCAGGGGCACTGAGCCACATCTGTAGGATTACTGGGGATATAATAGCAGGGAGATGAAACCAGGAAGGAGATGAAGTGGTAGCAGTAAATTGCACTTGTTTAACTCTACTAAGGGTCCCTAAGTTTCTTACCCCTGATCCTCTTAAGATGATATCACCTGCAAAGTGCTATATAAATATTTACAATAAATAGTACAGGTCATAAAATGAGTATACTTTTTGATTAAATGAATGTGGTTGAAATCATCTGGCAGTGAGGGTTCTAGCTCAGGAAGGCCTATCCTCCGCTTGGGATAAGGCATGTGTTGACTCTAATGTAGCTCAGTGGAACTTTTGGCCAAGTGCAACCATTACTGGGCATAAGCCTGGATAACTTGGCCCTCACATGGTTTCATTTCCACTGTCAATATTCTCACCACTCAACAACTGCCTTTATAGCAGTGTTTTGCACACAGTAGGCACCCATCAAAAAACAAATGCTTTTCAACTCTTTTCGCATGTCCCACAGTTTAGATTTTTAAAAAATTTATATATAATTTATTTTACTATAGTCATCACAAACTATATAATGATTGAGTTCCCCAGAACTAGAAACATTAGCTAAAAGGTAATTTTAATACAAAATGAAGAATGAAATAAATATATCAATCCAAGATGAAATAACTTTCAAAATGTATTCTTTTAATGCAGTAATATAAGCCATTAAAGTTTTAGAAAATCTGGGTGTATAAAAACTTCTCATGTGAAATAAAATGATTCATTGTATGTTCTATTGAAACTGATGATGTTAAGAATGTGATACTGCAATTTATTTAGATTATAGAGGCCCTTAATAATAAGAATTTTCTTAATGCATTATGTTCTACAGTTAACACTGTCTTTAATCTTTCAAACATTCTTATACAAATACCTATACATTTAGATATTAATCATTTTTCTTTTTTAGTCTGTTCTAATTAGTTATACATGGCAGTAGAATGCATTTTGACACACTGTACACAAATGGAGAACAACTTCTCATTCCTTTGGCTATATATGGTGCAGAATCACATGGGTAGTATAATCATAATGTCCTTCTCATTCCACCGTCCATCCTATTCCCACACCTCCTCCCCTCCCCTCACTCTCCTCTGCCCAATCCAAAGTTCCTCTGTTCTTCCCTACCCCCACCCCCATTATGGATCAGCATCTGATTATCAGAGAAGAACTTCAGCCTTTGGTTTTTTGGGTATGGCATGTTTTATTTAGCATAATATTCTCTAGCTCCATCCATTTACCTGCAAATGCCATAATCTTATTCTTCTTTATATTATTGTGGGATAGACCCCACAATATTGCATTGTGTATATATACCACATTTCTTATCCATTCATCTGTTGAAGGCATCTAGGTTGGTTCCACAGATTAGCTGTTGTGAATTGAGCTGCTTTAAACATTGATATGGCTGTGTCACTGTAGTGTATGCTGATTTTAAATCCTTTGGGTATAGACAGAGGAGTGGGATAGCTGGGTTAAATGGTGTTTTTTTGCAAGTTTTCTAAGGAATCTCTATATTACTTTCCATGGTGGTTGCACCAATTTGTAGTCCTGCCAGCAATGTATGAGTGTACTTTTTTTCCGGATTCTCGCCAACACTTATTGTTGCTTGTATTCTTGACAATTGCCATTCTGACTGAACTGAGATGAAATCTTACAGTAGTTTTGATTTGCATTTTTCTAACTGCTAGAGAGAATGAACATTTTTTTTCATGTTTGTTGATCTATTATATTTCTTATTCTGTGAAGTGTTTGTTCACTTTATTAGCCCACTTATTGATTGGGTTATTTTAGACTTTTAATTTATATGGTTTTCTTATTTCTGCTTGGTGAGGCATTCCTACACTTTTTTAGGAAGAGAATCTCATATCCTTGATAAGCAAAATCAGTCTTAATTAATAGTGACCAGTAGAACTGCAGTTCTATTCTTTTATAAATACAGCTAATAATAACAGTGCCATAATATATACATTAAAATGCTTTAAAGTGAGATGTAATAGGATAATTTTAATCTGCACTTCTAACTTTTAAAAAATAGATGTTAGGCATACATAATAAAATTCCTAAATATTTAAGTGATATATAGTTCTTTCAGTCCACTCTTGTCTCCCAGATGCCTAGTTCCTTTCCCCAGAGGCAATCATTGCTCTCATTTCCTTGTGTATCTTGCTCAGGTAAACTGTGTATTCCACTTATGTCTAATGTTTATTTCAATTACTTATTTATTTTAGACGACTCCAGAATTGATGATAAAAGCATGCACCTTTTATACTGGACATTTAGTAAAGACCTATTTTGGGTAAGAATGTGATTTTTCTGATAAGAATGTGATTTTTATATACTATTTCTTTTTGTGTTTTTATTCATGATATTCTCCACATAAAGAAAAACTCACTCTTAGCCAGTTGTGCTGATTTTTTCTATTTAAGCATGTTTCTACCATTTCATTTTTAAACATTTTTTTAAGATTGTAGATGGACCCAGTACCTTTATTTTATTTATTTATTTTTATGTGGTGCTGAGGATCAAACCCAGTGCCTCACACATGCTAGGCATGTGTTGTACCACTGAGCCACAACCCCAGTCCTACCATTTTATGTTATATTTTAAAAAATATTCAATCAGAATGTATTTGGTTAAAATATATTTTTTACTTCTTTGAGATATAACTTTTGTATGTTTTTCTTTTTCTTTTTTTTAATAAAACTTATAAACAGATAGTACAGGTCCACAATTCACTTATTTGAAATCCTTAGGGACAGATATGTTTTGGAATTTGGATCCCCCTTTTTTGTTTTTAATTTTTAAATTTGTTCTAATTAGTTATACATGACAGTAGAATGCATTTTGACACATTGTACACAAATGGAGCACAACTTCTCCTTCCTCTGGCTGAATATGGTTGCAGAGTTGCACAGGTACTATAATCATACATGTATATAGGGTAATAATGTCTGTCTCATTCCACTGCCCCCTTTTTTCTTAAATCATCATTATGACAATTATTTTGGGAAATTGAAGTTATCCTAACATGACATTATTCCATGATTTCTTTATCTTATCCCAAAAGAAATAAGGCTGCCATATAACTTCTGTTATCCTCTGTAATCATTAGAAATTCTTCAGGTCACCCAAATGTATAGATTTTCTTTCTATGCTGTGATTTTGAGGAGAATAAAGGAAGTGTTAGTTCTTGTTCCATTTAACATATTTACTAACGGGTTGCTCTGACGTCAAAATGTTATTTTTCTGTGTTTCTGCCTGCAGGACTTGGAAAGAAATAACAATGCCTCATATAAATGTAGAGGATACCCTAGCTGAAAAGATGGAAAAAGCAATGATTTATTGTGATTCTAAACTTAAAAAATTTTTATTTCATCAATGGTACTCTTATACAAAAAATCAAAAAGCAAAATTTCAAGGTAAATCCTTACATGATAACAATAGTTTTTTTTTTAATTTACTTATTCAGAGAATCAGTAAACTTATAGTTTAGCATGGTTTGTATTATTGTCATAAAATTAAGGTAGAGCCATTAATTCAGAATACTTAATGACATTTTGTTTAAAGATTTTATTATATTAGAAAAGAGGCATATTTAAAATTAAATCCTGTGTATTGGTGTATGAATATATAAATATAAATAGCGATTTATTACTTTTTACATAGTAAAGAACTGGTATGTTATAGGTGGATATCAAAGTTGACTACTTTTATGGAGACCTATATATTCTTTACAAATATTTAATTTAATTTATATATGAGAAAGCTTAAAGAAAAATCATTTCTCTTAATTAAGAGTAGTGGTAGCCAGGCATGGTATTGCCTGCCTGCAATCCCCACTCCTGCAATCCCAGCGGCTAGAGAGGCTGAGACAGGAGGATCATGAGTTCAAAGCCAGTCTCAGGAAAAGTGAGGTGCTAAGCAACTCAGTTAAGACCTGTTTTTAAATAAAATAAAAAATAGGGTCGAGGATGTGGCTCAGTGGTTGAGTGCCCCTGAGTTCAATCCCTGGTTCCACTCCTGCCCGCCCCCCCACACACACACACACCAGTAGGGGTAAAGAATTCTAGCCTTTTGCTCGGATGTTGTTGCTGCTCTCTAGTACTGACTCATATATGACTGTGCAAATCACAAAATCATTTCCTTTTGTGTTGTTGTCTGTACCTCTCAGAGTGGATCCCCTGAAGGTTTTAACATAAATGTGATGAAGGATCTAGTTAATTGGCTAACTAGAATTTCACAGGGCTGTAATGGTAGGTAGTAACTATCTTCAAAATTCCTATCTTGGAGGAATTGTGAGCTCTGTAGTAAAAGCAATTTAATTTGAACATGAGAATGGGGATGGCCTCTATCATTTTTTTTTTCTCTTTCCACTTCTAGGCTACTTCTTCTATGTCTCAACACCTCTCCCTATTCTTGTGATGGTTTTTTGCTCCTGGTTTATGTTTCTCTTTTCACTTTTCTTTCCCTTTCTCAGGCTTTCTGTCACTGCTGCATCTTCCTTCTATTGTTCTAAATCTCTCTCTTGTCTATTTTGCCTTTTGTACCTTTCACCTCCCAATCTCTTAAAAACATCCCAGTTACAATCACATTGTGGCCCTTCAGGATGTTATTCCTCCTGCCCTATCCTTAGTTCATATACCTTGATCATGAAAAAAGTTAAAATCTTGTTTGAGAATTATCAGGAATCCCAAATAATAAGCCCAAGTTGTGATTCTCAAAGTGGTAGCTTTAAAATGGACAAAAAGGGGCTGGGGTAGCGTGCTCGCCTAGCATGTGTGAGGCACTGGGTTTAATTCTCAGTACCACATAAAAATAAAAAATAAAGATATTGTGTCTACCTAAAACTAAAAAATAAATATTAAAAAAATATAATAATAATTATTAAAGTATTTAAAAATTTTTCTAGTTGTCAATGGACACAATACCTTTATATTTATGTGGTGCAGAGAACAAAACCCACTGCCTTTCATATACTAAGCAAGTGTTGTACCTCTCTACCACTGAGCTACAAGCCCAGCCCCAATATTTAAGTATTTTATGGTACATTTATATAATGTATAATAAAGCCTTGAAGGTCTGAAATATTATAAGCTGATATAATTTAGAAGCTATATAAATAATCTAATATATTGGTATATAAATAAGTTTCTGATAAAACAATATAATAATTTCCTCACAAAATGTTTTTATTTTGTACTTGTTATAACTTAAAGGGTAAACACTAAAATCAACCTAAGTATTTGAATGTATGGAACTGTATTTTGGTGGAAAGCAATTCAAACAAAAGGCATTGAAATTAAAATGAATGGAAAAACTTATTGCCTTAAATAATTGATTTTCAAGCCATCATTTTATGTGCCCATTCAAAAGTGTTGAAATTTCTAATTATTCTTTTTAAAAATATATATATGTTTTTAGTTGTAGATGAACATAATACTTTTATTTATTTTAATGGTACTGAGGATCAAACCCAGTGCCTCACACTAGACAAGCGCTCTACCACTGAGCCACAACCCTGTCCCAGATAATTATTCTTGAAAAGATTACTGAAGTAACATGGTAGAGAGATCTGGTTTTGTTTGTTCCTCTGTTTGGGAGCTGAACTTAAAATTGTTTTGTGTGATTCAGCTCTCCATACTGAATCACAACACTTTAAACAGAATGAAAAGAGTGGTCCTGTAGATGATTAATTAGGTGAACTGAACAGATATGCAATGATAAAAGCTTATTCATTTCTGAGTTAGATTAGCTCAATTTGAGAACTATTAATTAGCCAAACTAGATGAGTTTTAGGCTTTCTGAAGAGGTTAAATCTGAGAACGAAATTATAGTGTGGATAGTGACTACATGGTGACTCTGGAGGCTGAGGCAGGAGGATCACAAATTTGAGAACAGGCTCAGCTATTTAGCGAAGCTGTAGGTAACTCAGCGAGATTCTGTCTCAAAATAAAAAATAAAAAATACTGGGGATGTAGCTTAGTGGTAAAGCACTTTTGGTTCAATCTCCAGTACAATCAATCAATCAATCAATCAATAAAATAAAACGAAATAAAAATAAAATTCTAACTGTGATTTTGAAAACTGGTAACACATTTTGCTCTATTTGCACAATATTTAACAAATTTAAAAATTTAGTTTTTGAGTGTCAGAAGTAGTCATGTACAATCCAGACATCAGCTTTTTTTGAAAAGAAAAACAAAACAAAATCCAAAACAAAAACCAAACATTATAAAAACAAAACCAAAACTAGGCCTTTACTCTTGCAAACAAATAGTTGGCTGCAATTTAGATTACAAACAGGAATATAAATGCAGTCTTCTGAGGGCAGTATCTCCAGGCTTGCTGCTGTTGTCCTCCTTCCTGGCCCTTTTGGACTTTAGATTCCTGGTTAACATGTATAAAGCAACCCATTTAATCAAATAATTATAGCATATAACAAATTAGAAAACATTGGGTCTGAACACTGCCTCATGATTGCATTTCTTATGAATAAGTTTTAGAAGTTCTGGTTTATAAGAAATAGATTTGTTTTAAAAGAAATGATACATATCTTCACATTTCTATACATATCTTCATATTTCTAAGGGCAAAGGTGAAGTTTACAGGTTCATAAGGTCTCGGGAGCACTTTTTAATCCTTTCAAAGTAATTAATTTTGGGTGTCATTAAAATCAAGAAAAAACATCAGATGCAACATTGGTTCCTATTGTAAGCATGACAGAATATTGAATCATTTGGGTTCTTTTTGAAACAGCTTTAATTATATAGGAACTTTATTAATTTTTTCAGGTGCAATATTACGGATACAAAAGATCTTCCAAGATCACAGGCAAAGGAATTTCATTGCAAAATGGCGGGCTATTGTAAGAATTAGAAATAAAATCAGAGAAGAGGAGTTGGTATGGTATATTGAAAACTTAATTTTTTAAAGAATCTGATTTAGTTATAGTATATTGCCTCAGATAATAATGCTATATGTAGAAAGTATTAAAATCCTTCATATTTTGTACTTTGCTGGTATTCTTGCTCTTTTAATAATATGGTAATTTAAATTCCACTTCAGTTATTCAAAGTATTTCTTTTTACTCTTCTATTTTTTATATTCTGTTTTTAAATTTTTAAGTTCATTATCATCATATCCCAAATATTTCTGATTTTTTTGTTTAATTTGAACTATGAAAATCAAGAAACGATCTTTTAACATTTTGTTTATATTTATTGATAAAGAAACTAAGTAAATATTTAGATAGATGTCTGAAGTGGAAGAGAAACTAATATGATTTAGAGAAATAAATGATGAAGTTGAATCAATCTATTCCTTTTCTAGATAAGATTAAATTGCTATTTATTTATTCTTTTTCAACATTCAATTTAATAAATCACAACCTTAACATTAAATGATTTCTTAAATTACTAAATTGGCAAGTTTAAAGAATCATTCTTAACTGGAACACCCACTAAGAACTGAAATAGAGGACTCACGATAACATCTCTAAGCATAAAAACACCCTAGTTCTCTTAAGTTATCATTATATCATTACTTAATTTTTTTTAAAGAATGTTCAGAGTAACTACTAGCATCAGGCTGGAATTTTTTGTAGTTATATTATTTAGTAGGCAATATTTTATTAATATTCTTTGAAATACTAAGTTAGGAAAAAGAGAATTAAATCAAATCTCCCTCTTTTGTGGTTGCCCCTTGGAGGGCATGAGCAATGCCCCTATTCACACAAAAGTGGTTCAGATGTTAAAATTGACAATACCACACAGGAATAGCATATGAGATCGTTTTTTTACTCATGTATGCTTGAAACAGCTCTAGAGTCTGTGGAGGATATTGAAAAGCTAAAGCACAGTTCTGGCTCTTTAGCATTTATAATCTATGGGTATTGGGCTGTCATGCTTGTAGGATGACATCTAGCCTTTGCCTTTTGTGGATACCTTTGGGTACCATTTTGTGTCTGCTCATTCAGTGCTTTCTACCACTTTGTGTATTAATCTAGTGTTTTGATCACTGTCTTCTATGCCTGATCACTAATTATCTTGTGGCAAAGTAGGTAACTGTATCTGACCAGTCAGCCCCTGTTTTTTAAATATCCTTCCTTAAGCTGAATGTCCCTGAGAGCAGGCAGTATTCTCACAATCTTCCCTATACACCAAGCATAATGTTTTGCACACTCTAGTTGATACATAGAGTACATATCGTATGAAGAGTAATTTAATATTATTCTTAATATATATGTGTATTACATAGTTAATTGGGTGTTTAGAGAAGAAATTTTCTTCTAGTTATATAATTTCTTCACAAACAGTCATTCTATATTCACATAGAGTAAGGATGACAGGTATGTGCTGGGAGCAGAGGCAGGGAACATCTGTGTGTGTTGGCCCTCCAATGTGTGCTTTTCCTTAGACTCTAATTGATAAATACATTTATTTATATTCTCTCTCTATATATTAATTACATGGAAATTGCATGTGTATGGATGTGAAATGCTAGTTTATCCTTAGCATTTTATATTTATTACACATTTTTCGGGAATGTATCAGAGTAATAATGTAGACTTCCTGAAATGATAAATCAGGCAAATCTCCAAATAATTTCCTTCTGACTCCCCCTCCTTTTATTTTTAAATTTTTATTTATTTTTGCTATTTCTCTGCTAAACACCTCCCTTCCATGCCCTTTTATTACCAGCACCTTCACTTTGTGGGCTTCAGTTTCTTCATCTATAAAAGAGGAGGCTAGATTCAAAATTTTTTCAATGGATTGAGAATTTTTCTTTTATTAGTGCATTATAGTTATACATAATAGTTAGGTTCATTTTGACAAAATCATACATGCATGGAATTTGATTTATTCCATTTCAATCCCTAGTATACCTCTCTTTCGCTCCCCTCTTCCTTCCCTCTATTCTCCTTCCTTTACTGTAGACCAGATCTTTAAGGTGGCTGCCTGTGCCAATGTTGTATAACAGCTAAGACAAATGATCTGTAATGTAAGCTTTGGTGGTTCAGGGAGTATTAAACATGCATATTGAAAATTTTAATTTATGAAATAACAAGGATAATAAATAATGTTAGGTTGGTGCTATTGTTATGTTAAGCACTGTGCTATCATCTTATTTGATCTCTATGACAAATCCATGGAATTTGTTAATTATTTTCATTGCAGATATCAAAACATGAATCTGAGCTGAAAAACTGGAAAAAAAGGTTAAAAATGAAATCTTCTGAAGAATTTGCTTCTCTTGAACCAAGTTTCTCTGAAGCTGTTTTCAAGAGTAAGTCTATGGAATTTGATATTTCACAGTTACCCGAAAATGCAGTATTACAGGTTTGTATGAATTAATTATATACTATATAATATTACCATTTATGTATATCTTGGGAATTAGGATGATTGTATTTTTGACCATTATTCTCTCTTTTTACAAATTACCAGCTCATATTTTGTCTTTTAGTAAAAATTTCTATAAATTTCATACTGATTTGTAATAGCTCTTTTTTTTAAAGACTGATTCTGTCATCAGTTTAATAGGATATTCCTTCTATAAGGCTGCATTTGTGAAGTATATATTTAAAAATACCAACAGTTTTTGTAATAACTCTTTATATATTGATAATCATATCCCTTTGTCTGGAATCTATTTAGAGATTATTTTCCCCAAACTTGAGGCTTTCATTTTTCCTGTGGAGTCCTTTGATAAAAGAAATTTAAAGTTTTAGGTAATAAAGTCTATGACTCTCACCCTATGATTTCTCTTTATGTCATATTAATATGGCAGTATTAGCATGTCATTCTTGATTTTCTAAGCTCTATCACATTTCTTCTTACATTTGTGAAGCTGTTCTTTTTTTTCCTATAAACTCCTATGCCTTGACTGATAATTTTTCTTTGTTTATTGCTGCCCTAGGGTTTATATTATGTATTTTTAAGATATCACAGATTACTTTCAAAGAATTTATGCCACGTTATTATGATGTAGGACTTTAACAACAGTGTGCTTTTATTTCCTCTCTCCTGTGCTTTTAGCTATTATTGTCATATATTTTGTTTCTATATATTTATAAACTTCACAATATAATTTATTATATTTGTTTTAAATAGTCAGTTGTATTTTATCCAGCACAATTAAAAACAAATTTTAACAATCTCAGACTTGCAGAAAAGTTACAAGTATGTTACAAAGAATTTTTTTCCTAAAATTTTGAGAATGAGTTTCTGACATACTATGTCACAACACTGGAATATTATTGATATATTTCCTATAAACATGTTTTCCTCTTAAAGTCAATCATCAAAATACTTAGACCTAATTCAGGGTTCCTCAGTTATTCCAATGATGATCTAGCAAAAGGGTCTAGCTCAGGACACATGTTGCAGTTGGTTGTCAGGTCTCCTCGGTTTCCTTCAGTCTGGAACAGGTTCTCAGTCTTTCGTTAATTTTCATGACCTTGACATGAAGAAATTAGGCAAGTTTTATGGTGAATTCTCTCAATTTAGGTGTGGTTTTTAATACTTCTGCATGAGTTGATTTACCCTAGGCATTTTTACTAGAGCACACAGACATGATCATGTTTTCTTCTTCTCAGTGTATCCTCTCAGTGACTCAGGATTTAGATTTGGGTAAATGTCTTCTTGGGATATAACCTGCTTTGGGCTCCAGTAACCCACAATGAACCACATTTCCTTAGTTTGCCTTCCTTTTCCAATTTGGGTTCCAACTTTTCATTTGGGGGATATTCCTCCTTGAGAACAACCTTCTAACACTTCTTGGGCTCCAGAACTCTGTGCCAGGCTGCTCCATTGAGGGGATACTGCCCTTTCCACACTCAATTAATTGGATGCCCTGCTCTGGGCCTCCTGGGCTCCTTCTGTACCCCTCACCTTGCATGGATGCTTCCTCTGCTTGGCTCCACTTAGTGGCTTTAGGACTGGGCTGAAGGGAATAGAGAGAGAAAAGTGTTCAGTTATCTTTCAAAGAAAGTAAAACCCCAGAAAAAAGTAGTTTATATTTTCCCACAAATTGGCTATTTTTTGTTGCTCTTTTTGTTTAGATCTGAGACTTCATCTGGAGCTATTTCCCTTCAGCATGATGAAATTCTTAACATTTCTTGAAATACAGGTCTACTCCTGCTGAATTTTCTCAGCTTTTATTTCTCTGAAAAAGTCTTCTTTCTTAAAGGTATTTTCACTAGATATAGAATCCTAGGCTGGCTACTTTTTCATTTTTGATACTATTCATTCTTTTCAAGATGTGATTCCATTATCTTTTTTTTCCTTTTTTTTTATTGCTTGTTCAAAACATTACAAAGCTCTTGACATATCATATTTCATACATTAGATTCAAGTGGGTTATGAACTCCCAATTTTACCCCAAATACAGATTGCAGAATCACATCGGTTACACATCCACATTTTTACATAATGCCCTATTAGTAACTGTTGTATTCTGCTACCTTTTCTATCCTCTACTACCCTCCCTCCCCTCCACTCCCATCTTCTCTCTCTATACCCCATCTACTGTAATTCATTTCTCTCCTTGTTTTTTTCCCATTCCCCTCACAACCTCTTATATGTAATTTTGTATAACAATGAGGGTCTCCTTCCATTTCCATGCAATTTCCCTTTTCTCTCCCTTTCCCTCCCACCTCATGTCTCTGTTTAATGTTAATCTTTTCCTCCTGCTCTTCCTCCCTGCTCTGTTCTTAGTTGCTCTCATTATATCAAAGAAGACATTTGGCATTTGTTTTTTAGGGATTGGCTAGGGATTCCATTATCTTTTGCCTTGAATTATTTAGGTGTTTTCTCTCCCTTTCTTTTCTTTTCTGTCTTTTTCTTTTTGTGCCTGGGGATTGAACTCAGAGCTTCACACATGGGAGGCAAGCACTTTACTGTTGTGCTACATTCTGGCCCTGCCTTGCATTGTTTCAGGTAAGTCAGTAGCTGGATATTCTTTCCCCTTTTGTATGTAATGTGCCTTTTTTCCTTGTTGCTTTTAAGATTTTTTGACTTTTCTGTAATTTGATTTTGATATGCTTTGGTATAGTTTTCTCTGTGTTTGTCCTTTTTGACCTGTGGGTATATATATTTTAGCAAACTTGGAAATTTTTCAGCCATTATTATTTTTTAACTACTTTGGTCTCCTTCTTCTTTTCAAACACATCTATTAGATAACTTGTTGTCCCAAAGTTCATTGATTTTCTGTTCATTTTTTTCTTTCTGTGCTCCATTATTAATATTTCTTCAGTAATTTTTTTAAAAAAATTATTTGTTTTAATTAGTTATACATGACAGTAGAATGCATTTATGCACTTTGATACATCATACATAGATGGGACGTAATTTCTCATTTTTCTGAGTGTGCATGTAGTCATGTAGTCACATATATACATACAGTAATAATGTCTGTGTCATTCTACTATCTTTCCTATTCCCACATTCTCTCCCCTTGCCTCCCATCACTTCCCTCTATCTAATCTAAGGTAACGCTATTCTTCCCTAGTGCCTCCCGCCTTATTGTGAATTAGCATCCGCATATTAGAGAAAACATTCAGCATTTGGTTTTGTGGGATTGGCTTATTTTGCTTAGCAGGATATTCTCCAACTCCAGCCATTTACTGGCAAATGCCATAATTTTATTCTTCTTTAAAGCTGAGTAATATTTCATTGAGTATATATACCACATTTTCTTTATCTATTCATCATCTATTGAGGGACACCTGAGTTGGTTCCATAGTCTAGCTATTGTGAATTGAGCTTCTATAAACATTGATGTGGCTGCGTCACTATAGTATTCTGATTTTAAGTCCTTTGGGTATAAACCAAGGATATAGCTGGGTCAAATGGTGGCTCCATTCCCAATTTTCTGAGGAATTTCCATACTGCTTTCCATAGTGGTTGCACCAATTTGCAGTCCCACCAACAATGCATGAGGGTACCTTTTTTACCATATCCTTGTCAACATTTATTGTTGCCTGTATTCTTGATGATTGCCATTCTGACAGGAGTGAGATGAAATCTTAGTTTTGATTTGCATTTCTCTAATTACTAGAGATGTTAAACATTTTTCATATATTTGTCGATCAATTGTATTTCTTCTTCTATGAAGTGCCCGTTCAGTTCCTTGGCCCATTTATTGATTATTTGTGGGTTTGTTTTTTTTTTTTTTTTTGGTGTTAGGATTTTTGAGTGCTTTATATATCCTAGAGATCAGTGCGTGTGGTAAAGATTTGCTTCCATTCTGTAGGCTCTCTATTTACCTCACTGATTGTTTCTTTTGCTGAGAAACTTTTTAGTTTGAATCCATCCCATTTATTGATTCCTGGTTTTAATTCTTGCACGATAGGAGTCTTATTAAGGAAGTCAGATCCTAAGCCAACCTGGTGAAGATTTGGGTCTATTTTTTCTTCTATTATGAGCAGGGTCTCTGTTCTAGTGCCTAAGTCTTTGATCCACTTTGAGTTGATTTTTGTGCATGGTGAGAGATAGAGGTTTAATTTCATTTTGCTACACACGGATTTTCAGTTTTGCCAGCACCATTTGTTGAATAGGCTATCTTTTCTCCAGTGAATGTTTTTGGCACTTTGTCTGGTCGACATAACCATATTTTGTGAGTTTGTCTCTGTATCCTCTATTCTGTATCATTGATCTATAAAGTCTATTTTGGTGCCAATACCATGCTGTTTTTATTACTATAGCTCTGTACTATAGTTTAAGGTCTGGTATTGTGATGCCTCCTGCTTCACTTTTCTTGCTAAGGATTGCTTTAGCTATTCTGAGTCTCTTATTTTTCCAAATAAATTTCATGATTGCCTTTTCTATTTCTATGAAGAATGTCATTGGGATTTTAATAGGAGTTGCATTAAATATGTCTAATGCTTTTGGTAGTATGGCCATTTTGACAATATTAATTCTTCCTATCCAGGAGCATGGGAGATCTTTCTGTCTTCTGAGGTTTTCTTCAATTTCTTTCTTTAGTGTTCTGAAGTTTTCATTGTAGAGGTCTTTCACATCTATTGTTAGATTGATTCCCAGGTATTTTTTTTTGAGGCTATTGTGAATGGAGTAGTTTTCCTAATTTCTCTTTCAGTGGATTCATCACTGATGTATAGGAATGTGTTTGATTTATGGGTGTTGATTTTATATCCTGCAATTTTTCTGAATTCATTTATTAGTTCTAGAAGTTTTCTGGTGGAATTTTTTGGATCTTCTAGATATAAAATCATGTCATTAGCAAATAGTGATAGTTTGAGCTCTTCTTTACCTATTTGTATCACTTTAATTTCTTTTCTTTTCCTTCCTTCCTTCCTTCCTTTCTCTCTCTCTCTCTC